TTTCTCATTTCATTGGATACGTCTTCTATGTAATATGCTTTGAATTATTTTGGGGGGAGAAGTTTTAAAAAATAACCCCTTTCCTTTTGGGGCTAAGGAAAATGTTCTAAAACTCGATTATGGTGATGGTCGCACAACTTTGTGAACACCAAAGACCACTGATGGACTTAACAGTATGTAAATTATCTCAATAAAGCTGGTTCTGAAAGCCCCGAGGCTACTGGAGATGGTGGGGATGGGCAGATGGGGCACACTGGTATTGCCCCTGTGATCCCCCAGTTCGCTGCCTCAGACATTAGCAGACCCAGGAGGGGTCTTGGGTAGAGGCAATGCAGGGCCGTGGGGAAGCTGTTAGCATCCCAGCCTCGTTGCTCCCTGGACGTCACAGCTTGGGTGGGAGTGATGGTGACCACCACCTGGGGGACCCGGGTGGGTACCCCACAGCCCTTCCTCACCGTGGGGCATCCCAGCAGCCGGGTTTGGGTCCCCTGACCATTGTCGATGGGTCTTGAGGAAGACACGTGACCTCAGCTAGCCACTCAGCTGCGGCACCCCGGGGCCGAGGCTCGGGTTGGGTGCGAACTTGGGTGCCAGGGTCGTCGTGTCCCCGACGCCACCCGCAGCCGTCTTTGCTCCTGCACCTCCGGGTTGCTGCTGTGCACTCAGGAAAGGGTGTGACCCAGGCCCTGTGCTACCTCCTCTCCTTGGGCCGGGCAAGGGGATGGGGCAGTCTCGGGGGCCCAGGCAGGCGGGGGGACCGGCGTGGACAGGCCACTGAGGCCAGGATCACAGCCAGGAGGCAGCCCGGCCCCTCATCTGTGGAACAGGAATGACACTTAACTCAGCTACTTCACTGAGAGAAGCAAAGGGCGTCAGCTGGGCCACTGCACTGTTGGTGATAGGGTTCCCCTGAAATTTTCATTGCCCATGGAGTCTAACTATTTTGTATAGAGACCCCCCCAAGAGCCAGGGTAAAGAATCCTGTTATGTCATTAGTCTCCCTTAACTTTTCTTTTGCGAATTTAAAAAACATTTTCTTCACACCCACCCCTGGCCAAAGTATGCCCATACAGGGCTGTTTTCAGCAACAATTTTGGTAAATTTCAGAATTATATATTAATTTCTACATAAGGCGTAGATTAAAATTTTCAGGTTTTGAGAACTGGAGGGTAAAGCCAGGGCAGGAGCTCAGAGAACCGAGTGCACTGGGGGG